ATTGGCTCAGGATTTCAGTGTTTGATCTAGGGAAGGGTCTGTACCAACATCTGACCATGAGGAATTTGTCAGCAAATGGCAGAAAACCATGGCTAAAAAAGCCACCTCTATTGGTCTGTCTCCCCCCCCAAACTGTATTACCTGGGTTATGTATGCGCCCAAAAGGTTTTAAAGCAAAGATTATGGGACAATGCACACAGTGACTTGCCATCTCGATCACACACAGTCGGTAGTCTGCTGGCAGCAGGAGTTTAATATGGGTATGTCTTTAAGTTAACATCTTACATCAAAAACCTGACAGTACCTAACTATCGAAGGCTTGTCACCAAAGCCAGACTAAATGTCTTCCCCTCTGCAGTGTTGGATGGTAGGTTGAGAGGAGTTCCCTACCAGGACAGACTTTGCTCGTGTGCTCAGGACATTGATTCCATAGATCATATTTTGTTGCATTGTGCAAAATATGAGCAGGCCAGGGCTGAACTGATACTACCCTTGCTGGTACCCTTCCTGGGAAAATCAGAGGCTCACTATGTCAGGTTCCTACTGGAAGACCGGACAAAAACTAGAACGTTAGCAGTGGCAAAGATTTTATCTGTGGTTGCAAGAACAAATGAGTCCTATATTCTAAACAAAATGCTTGATTAACCCGGAGGAAGGTTGAATGAACTGTGTATTGATTTGTAATGATTTCTTGGGTCTCTGGACCGTAATAAAGATTGTTGTGTTGTTGTTATATATATATATATATATATATATATATATATATATATATATATATATATATAAAATTTCAACAGGATTCAGCTCCATATCATGTTGCTGCTGTGTGCGAAAGGTGCTTTCAAGATCATGATATTTCACTGCTGGAATGGCCTGGGAATAGCCCAAACTTTAACCCAATCAGAAATCTTGGAGCTGACTAAAGAAACTTGTAATCAGAAGCAACCCAGCAATAAAGCCCAATTAACAGAGGCAATAATTCAGTCTTGGTTTCACATTATTACAGCTGCAGAACTAAAAACTTGGTTCACTTCATGGGAAGGCATTGTAAGGCCGTAATTAAAGCTAAAGGTTACCAATGGTTACCAAAGGTTTCACGTATTTTCTTTATGACTGCTGTTCTAATAAATACTCCTTCATAAAAGTCATCGCATTACATCCTTCATTAAATTATCTTTCCATTGCTATATAATTTTATGGTATTACTCCACACAAAAGTGGTGTTATGAGCCATCAAACCTCAGAAATACACTTTTCACAAAAGGTTTCCATATTTTGGCCGATAGTATAAGTTGTTCATTTTAAAGTTAATGTTTTTTTTATATGGGATCAGATTATTATTATTTATGTTTCATTTTTATATGTGTGTTGGAAGCCACCCAGAGTGGCTGGGGGAATGCAGCCAGATGGGCAGGGTATAAATAAAAAATATTATTATTACTACAGTGGTACCTTGATTTAAGAACAGTCCTCTTCCAGAAAAGATTAAGTTTGTAAACCGAGGTACCACTGTATCATCATCATCATCATCATCCTCATCACTGCTACTACTACCTGAAATTCAAGAAGCCTAGCTCTTCTCTGGGATGAATTTTGTTTGGCCCAGTCATGGCATCCCCTCCATCTCCAATGTCCGTCGTCTCTTTGGTCAACCCAAGACTGACAGGAGCAAAAACAAAAACAGAAAACCTGAAGCTACTTATCTTTCCTAACAATTCTGAAGCTGACATTTAAGATGGCCTGGGCAGTTCAGACCAGCCCAATCGTGGTAGAAAAAGGAATAATTTGAGGAAGATTGTTCAAAGAAAAAACTGTAATTTACTGTTTATTGTGGGGATGTTATAGGGGGCGCTGTTGAGCTCTGTGAAAATTTATGAGGTTGGTCCATAGAGGTATTTTTTGAATTTCCAGGCAGATATGACAATCCCACAGGGAGCCTTACCAAGAGAGGCCACGATCCCACGATTCTCCTCCATGACGTCCTTATGCAGAGCTCTCTGGTCAGGATCCAGCAACGCCCACTCCTCGTCCGTGAAACAAACAGCGATATCTTCAAAGCACACTGGACCCTAAAAGAAAAAGGGAAATGTCCTCCTCTGAGACAGCAGAAATATGATCTGCTCCACAATGCTCTGTTGCTTCCAGTTTGCCTGATGGAAGGATCCAATTACTCCTCTCCTCTTGAGCTGTTCTGGGAAGGCTCCCTCCCAATGCCATTTTTCATCCGATAGGGCTGGTTAGGTGAATCCAGGCCACTATTTGTTCATGTTTGTCAACTGCTTAGAAAACAATTTTAGCATTCAGTGATCAATAGACAATTAAAATAAGCCTATTTTCGTCTCCTGACTCTGAGAGACAAGCAGGGAGGGTGGCTTCTGGCAAAAGGAGAGGGAGCCACCGGTGGCTCTAACTTATCCTGACTCACCTCAGCCTCTCGACCTTCCTCTCCCACTCACCTCCTTCCTCTTCTGCCTCTGATTCTGGACTGCATTCTGCCACAGAGTATCCCAGCTCAATAAGCCCTGTTTCCCCTTCAGCTTCTGACACCTCCTCTTCCCAGGCTTCTCCCTCTTACCGCTCATCCTTCCTCCAACTCCACTCCTTCGGCTCTCAGCCATCTTCCCTTCCTGGTTCCCTGGCTGCTTCCTCCCACCATTCCTCTGCCCAACCAGTCCATGACATTGCTCCATCCCTCAGCCTCTGTCCCCACAAGGCAGCTTCCCCTGACCTGATCTGGTTCCACAGCCGCTGCTTCCCTTCTGCCCCCATGAAAACGTGGATCAGGAGGTCTTGCCGGCATCCTTCTGCCACCTGCAAGAGAAAAAAGGTAAGCAGGATGCCAGGATTGGCCTGCTTCTCTCACAGGTGAAACAGGGCATCTCTAAACTACAGACGGGCCTTTGAGAAGGGACCTTACCTGCTGAGAGCATTTGGAGGTTTGTGCCCATATAGAATCATAGAATCATAGAGTTGGAAGAGACCACAAGGGCCATCGAGTCCAACCCCCTGCCAAGCAGAAACACCATCAGAGCACTCCTGGACATATGGTTGTCAAGCCTCTGCTTAAAGACCTCCAAAGTAGGAGGACTCCACCACACTCCTTGGCAGGCAAATTCCACTGTCGAAACAGCTCTTACTGTCAGGAAGTTCTTCCTAATGTTTTAGGTGGAATCTTCTTTCTTGTAGTTTGGATCCATTGCTCCGTGTCCGCTTCTCCGGAGCAGCAGAAAACAAACCTTTCTCCCTGCCTCTATGTGACATCCTTTTATATATTTGAACATGGCTATCATAATCACCCCTTAACCTCCTCTTCTCCAGGGCTAAACATGCCCAGCTCCCTTAGCCGTTCCTCATAAGGCATCGTTTCCAGGCCTTTGACCATTTTGGTTGCCCTCCTCTGGACACGTTCCAGTTTGTCAGTGTCCTTCTTGATTGTGGTGCCCAGAACTGGACACAGTACTCCAGGTGAGGTCTGACCAGAGCAGAATACAGTGGCACTATTACTTCCCTTGATCTAGATGCTATACTCCTATTGATGCAGCCCAGAATTGCATTGGCTTTTTTAGCTGCCGCGTCAACACTGTTGGCTCATGTAAGTTTGTGGTCAACCAAGACTCCTAGATCCTTTTCACATGTTACTGCTCTCAAGCCAGGTGTCAACCCATCTTGTATTTGTGCCTCTCATTTTTTTTGCCCAAGTGCAATACTTTACCATTCTTCCCTGTTAAAATTCATCTTGTTTATTTTTGCCCAGTTCTCTAATCTGTCAAGGTCGTTTTGAAGTGTGATCCTGTCCTCTGGGGTGTTAGCCACCCCTCCCAGTTTGGTGTCATCTGCAAATTTGATCAGGATGCCCTTGAGTCCATCATCCAAGTCGTTGATAAAGATGTTGAATAAGACCGGGCCCAAGACAGAACCCTGTGGCACCCCACTAGTCACTCTTCTCCAGGATGAAGAGGAAACCATTGATGAGCACCCTTTGGGTTCGGTCAGTCAGC